TGTGAAAAAGAGTTCTTACTCACGACCGGTCGTGGTTCCTGTCTTTTGTATGGGGGAACTTTAAACTTTTGCGCTCAAGTCATTATTTCTGATTCTTACTAAGTTGTTCTTTTCTATTATAAGTCGTCTTGTGTGATACGGAGCTGGGTTATATGGGAGGATGGAGCTCCAAAAGGCATCTATGTAACAACAACATTCTCAAAATAAGATAGAAGGATGGGGACTTTCTTTCCCTCGATCACATAAATTCTTTCTTTCCGGAGGTGTGCAGTGACCTTTCATGTCGCAGCAAGTAATAACGCCCATTCTGGACCAGTTTATGTGTTTTGGCAGAATGCCATCCAAGGTTGCGTTTGAGACGAACAAAGACGAACTTTGCGCTTTGTAATAAAATATCTAATAAATGAAAATCTCTTTGATCCTTTTGATTTTTAAATTTTGGTGCAATAAAAAAAAATTCTCAACTTCAGTTTTCCCGCATGAACGAATTCCTCTGTTCTCTAAAATTTCACACCACTGCGCAAAATTCAGTTGTTTCATAACCTCTCTGATTTGATAATAACATTTCATTCACCTACTGAAGAGCAACTCAATTGTAGTGTCCTTGCTCAATCAACACCATTTATAGAGTTTTACAATTTAGCCTAATCGTCAGCCAGATAGAAATAATAACACTCGGTAGCCTTCCATAACCCCGAGAGACCAATTACACAGGACAGATCTAGATTTTAACTCAGACATTTTCCCCCCGATTCTAAGCGAAATCGCAATAGCTCTTTACTGAACTATTTTTTTTCCGCAACTTCGGTTTTTCGTAACGATTGGCGGCGACCATCTGCTAGAAATAGTTCCTTTGTTGCTTTGCAGCTGCCACAGTGACCTTTTACCTTCATTAATGATGTCCTGATTTCGTTTTGGATTTGAAGGTGAATATATTTCAAATACATTCAATGATTCGATGTTTCCGGAAACTATTATTTATTACTTACGGTTCTAGTTAGACATCTCTGCTTTTTTAACTAGAACTGTAATGTTTTCCAGACTCTGCAAATTTTTTATTGTTTTTCTCAGATTTCACACTATGTAATCTAGTTATGACATTAATTATCATGATCATCCACAACTTTTAAGGATCCAAAGATAAAATATGAGTTTAAAAAACACTAATAGTTATTAATTCTTGAGCATACAAAAATTCAGACCGATAATGACAGGAAAAAGAAAACTTTATTTCAAATATAATAATTTTACTGATCATAAATATCTGCAGTTTGCGCAAATGGAATTATTAAAACAGGTACTGTTATTTTCCTATGGCATTTTCTTTTGAAGAGATGTCCTGTAAGAATCTAACATCCATCATATATGACAAGTAATTTAATGAAACGTTTTATTACTTATTTAAAACAATCCAAAATTTATTACTCAAAACAGAAGTAAAAGTAAAGAAAAATAGTGCTTTTCTTTATTTTTATTTGTGTTTAAAGAGATAAATTTATTTTGTTTATTTGTGTTTAAAGAGAGAAATTTATTTTGTTTATTTGAGTTGTAAGAGAGAAATTAGCTCTATTTAGTATGTTAATTTATGTCGTACTTAAGTATGGATCTATAAATGGTGTAAAATTGCTCTCTGTGCTTAATTCCATCGATCTTGCTCTATGGGTACTTTCGGGGTTCCCTGCTCCCCCTGTAACATGAATATGAGGCAGTTTTCTTCAGAAATATCTTGATAAAAATATCACTTCCCTTAAGGAGATAGCCTTTGTCGTATCCGACTGGAAATACAAGCTGTCTTCATAACATCCTCCTACCTTTCAGATTTTATATTTCCACAAAGATTTCTATGTTTTAAAATTCATCTTAGGTTGTTTCGTCTGCTTATTTGGGCTATTCAGAAATACAATTTCAAAGAAATTTCTAATTTATGGTTATGTATATATTTGAGACACCTTTATTGCAAAATTTTTCTTCCTTTCAGCGAATGTATCTTTCTATTTATTCATAATTTTAACAGTTTAATGAGTCCTAGTTTTTAGATGATTTTGAGGTAAATGATTGTTCTACTTGCATGCATAATAATACCTGTCAAACCCTTTGATTAAGCCAGTCCTCTCAATAATACCATAAACTTTAGATCAATGCACAGAGCCTATTATTTGGACAAGGCACAGCTGTAGTTATTTGTGTATCATACAAATAACTGTATCTGTATATCATACAAAATAACTGTAGGCACAGCTACAGTTATTTCGTATGACATACAGTAATCCCCCTGAACATGAACTCACTCGAGGCGAACTCTACCTTAATATTAACAAAATTTCAGTACCGACAGCAAAGTTCCTATAAATCAGGAACTTTTATCGATTAATGCCAATTTCGGTTATCACGAATTATGAATTGTTTTTTAGTCTGGCGAGTTATTAGATTTTTTTTCATTTAATACGAACTTTCGAAGTTATTTATATTTTTCCCTTTTATTTCTCTGCTAAAACTGCCTTCAGAAATCGTCTATCGCGTTTAATTAAAAAAATTCACAGAATACATTGTATTCTTTAAAACACAGACACGAACGAGTCTCACTAGTAACACTGCTCAACAATCGCGAACATCGTATCAGCAATGAGCTTCAATCAGCAAATACAATTCTGTCTTCAGATGTGCTTTTATATTCTTTAATAGTTACCACGATTAATGTTAAATCCTGAATAATTCTTAATTCAGATATAGTAAACAGTTTTGAGAAGTTTGTTAGTGCAGGTGACAATGTTGTCGTGTGTGATCCAGTTAAATCAGTCGTATTTGAGATGCAAGAAATGTCATCAGAAGAAATTGAGGTGTACAGTATTATTCTGCTCATTCGCCAGAAAGTGTTACATGCATCGGACACTTGAGAACATTTTACTCTAACATCCGAATTATAGGCTAATTTTACGGATATCATTAATACAGCTGGTTGTGAAGTTAGCAAGCATTTGTCCCCGTCTGCGACAGCGTAAAATTCATAATAAGAAAACAAAGTCTCACAAATTAAAATAATTATTAGTACAAATAAACAAAACCCTAAAAATACACTACAAACTAATTTGCGCTTTGATGAGGAATGCGGTAAGAAGTTAAAATAAAGATCATAATCAAAATAACTGGTTAGATTAAAATACGAACCTTACACATTTTATGACTAGTTACAACAACAGATTTGATCTACGGTATAAAACGTTTTCTTTCACTAATAGGAAGAGATTTACTAAATTCTTTTCTGTTTAACAATCCTATTCTACTAAGGTGTTCATCTTAATTTTCAAAAAAATAGATGATAAAACATTTGTAATAATAACTCAGAATAAACTAAGTCTAAATTATGAAAAATAATCCTAGGGTAATTACACTATATAGGAGATTATAGGAGCATTTTGTTTCTGAACTATACGAGTATAAATGAGTAAGGAGACCAGATGTCCGGAACTGTGCGAGATAAATCTGCGTCTCAGTGCAGGATCTCGCTTGAGGGTATGTCCCGGAAAGTATTCCACATTCTATAAATATTCTAGTATTTTGTAAATGTAGAGGACATCTATTTATCATTGATACTGTATATGGTCCTGAAGATGTTTTTACGAAAACGTAAATATATTCAATAAACAATCAATCGTACTTTCATGGTTAGGAAGTAGGTGGAATCATGGTTTAGGAAATTCACGAAGTCGTTAAAAAAGACTGGTTTGTAAACGAATTTCTGGATTTCTATTATAGTTACATTTCATACTTGGACACTTGTATATTATACGCCCTTGATGCTAAACACCTTATTTTATGGCTTTTAACATGAAAATGACAATGAAATTAAAAGATCAGTTATATTTCTCAAGTTTCAAAAAAGAACGGATAGGTGTTTATTATTAGAAAGATTCAGGTAGACATTTAGAGAAATCAGCTTCGCATTTCGCAAATTTTTTCCCGTGCATGTTTCCTTGGTGCAATTGATAGCGCGTTCCGCTATCAATTAGATTCGAATTCTAGAGAGGCAATAACTGATATTTCTCATGTCTCTAGCCGGGAGAAACAGAACGTCTGTATAAGCTTCTGATAATCCACAGTTTTGTTCACAGTACTGTTTTTATCAAGATGTTACTAATTCTGCAAAAAATTTCAAATTCGATTTAGCCTTCAGACGGCATTATATTACGGTTGGCAGGGCATGAGCTCAGTTCGACATTTTACAAGCACATTATGCAAACAGAAAGGGATGGAATGAAGAACCATTGTAACACATCACATGACATTATATTAGCTTCTTTAAATGTATATAATTGCTTCTCAGTTTCCCTTTTGACTTCCTGGTCTTTAAGAGCTTAATTTAAAAAAATAGCTATCGGATGTTATTTAATTTGATTGATTTAACACCACTTTATAAAGATTATATATTATATATATCATTAAAATAAACTTAAAGTATCTAAAGTAAATTTTAAATTGGAATCAAAGCAAGGTAATTACTTAACAGTATTAATAACTGTAACCGTGTGTAAGGTGTTTAACACAATATCTAAACAAATGAAAATTAAAATAAGAATTCATGTTAGAGTAAACTCGAAAAATAAAACTGCGAAAGGGAAGACGGGTTTAAAAATTTTTTTCGTTAATTTTTAACCCATTCTTATGTTTCTTTTTGTATATATTTCATTAGATTTACATTCCTTCGTATGATCATTCTTAATATATCGTTCTCATAATAATATATGTAAAACATGCCATGAATGAACATATGATAAAACGCATAAAATGATCCTCTGAGTTCCACTAGTAAGATTTTCAATTTCTGCCAAAATTTTGCATTGTTATTGTTGTGCCTTTCTACAAAAAAAAAAAAAAAAAAAAAAAAAAAACATCAAAATTAAAAATTATGATTTTTCTACACGAAGAATACACAAATATATATATATATATATTTTTTTTATTTTTGAATTTAAAGTAGCACGCATTATGTTAAAAACATTTACCGAGGTTTTGCGAGTAAATCGATGACTTCTTATGACCCTTCCGATGACTGGTAATTGGCCTCCAGTGCTGATGACAATATCAGGAGCTTCTCTCAGACACATGGGTTGCTTGGAGAGATGAACACGCTGGTCGTCTTCTTCTTCAATTTCTTCGTATAATGTCTCACCTGGCGCGAAGGTGCGTACTGCATATATAAAACAAATAGAAAAACAGTTTACTAAAATACTAATTATATTCTTTAGTATATTATTAGTACTTTGAAAAAAGACTCGGCACTGAGCATACCCGGGCTGCGTAATGTGTTGTTAGTAGTCCCGACTATTTCACTCCTGGGTGTAGATATCCTGCTTGGTGCGGCTCTCAGTGCAGAAGGTATGCCTGCTCCTCTTCTTGGACTGCACCAACGTTGCGGCTGGCGTGAGCGCCTTCGAAATGTTGGTCGGAACATCCTTGTTTGAGCTTTCAAAGCAAGAAGTGTAGAATACAACCGATTAGGAAGATTGCTTGTGAACCTTTTTATTTTGTCTTTTTCCTGTGGAGCATAAATGTTGTAATGGATTTCAGTATAATTATATAACAAAAATCTAAAGAACACATTTAACGGAGTGATTTCTAGTGAGCTCTATTCCCATGAAATATTCGGAAGAAAGATATATGATTAGTTTATGACCCTTTATGAAAACTACAAGCGTATCCAAGTAGGTTCATATACTACTTCTACAACACTTTCACACTATAAGGTAACGAAACAAAAACTGAATTACAGTAGCAGCACGGCCTATTAAGATACTATGTAAGTATGGACCACTCTCATATTTGAAATGCGGTGATGTGAGCAAGCATGAATGCATACCACCTGTTCTGGATTTGCATTTTAATTAATCTGAGACTGATGTATCTTATTCAAATGTGCAGGCAGTTTAGCTGTTCCTGAATGGGAAATTAACGAAGGAGATGGACAGCAGCAATTTTTGAATCCAGCATTTTATGCAGAGCCCTTGTTAAACGAGAAACTCCTGGGAAGCTGGAATAAGCCTAGGCTTACCAGCATCTCCAGCCCTACTTCATTGGGATCTATTTATCTCTTGCCTAATGATTTCAGATAACGAGCCGAGAGGTTACTGTGATATGTCAAAATTTTCCAGCGTTGCGTCACATCCAGCCATCACCTGTAATACGTTGAACTGGAAGTCTTTAACTTGATCATATTTGAAATGCTGGAAAATTGTTGCAATGGGCTTTTAAGTGCAAAACTTTGTGTTTCGAACCTAGGGAATCCATCAGACTCCTTTAACAGTTAATTAAGGCAGTTCATTATTATTACATAGATTTTTCGATGATGATATATATTTTTTATGCTGTGGATGCATCCACTTTCGAAGTTTCTAAAACCATTGCATTTCACAGCTCAACAATCGACTCTCCTTCAGAGTACAACATTTAATGGAGAAACTTTAGGCACTAGCCTTAAAGTTACACGTTGATATTGTTGAAGTTTGTTCAGTATTTTCACTAATCAGAAAAATTAGTACTTTAATTTGGATATTGATCAAGTGCAACAAGCTCTCGAAAAGTGCAACTGTTCAGCTGAAACGTTTGTTTTCCTCCAGGTGCTTATCCCCTTTTCTTACCTTCTTAATAGTCTTTTCGATAACCTGCAGCTCAGCTTACAGCAAAATAATATTTTCGCAATTAAATAAAATACCCGATTTATATATTTAGTAAAAAAAGGCAAATAAAATTATCAATTAAAAATATGCTTAATTATATTAAGTGCTTTCGAGTCAGAAATAATTTAAATTATATGCGCCTAGAAAATCGCAATCCCTCTATTATTTAGAGTAAGAAAATTTAATTTTCGAGACTTTAACTTTCTAGTTACTAACATAGAATCAATTTTATGTTGCAGTATCTTACAGTCAGAGTACACTTCAGTGGAGAAAGTATACCTGAAATATCATTTCAGTTGCATGTAACGAATTTTAACATAAATTTCAATTGCATAGAAATATGTTAGACTTTACACATTACCTATTAAAATTTAGCGCCTAATCATATAACGTTTAACATTCATACTTTCCTTTGAACATAGCCAGACCTGCATCAATTTTAACTGCATTCATGTCGTATCTGGTTATATTTGGGGGGGGATTTGCTAAAACATGGAAGAAAGAGGTAAATTCAACTGTCCGAATATTTCTCTAAGACATCCTTATAGGTAAAAAAATTCTTAATTTCTTAGGCCCACTGGAAAATGTTAACATGGTTACTTGCAGTAGAAAGTGGTTATAATAGATACCTTCACTAATGTTTTAATAAAATAAAGCTCGAATGCAGTATGAATAGATCAATTAATGGGTGAAAATTTAGATACTTTTTGCATTTGTGTTTGTAAAAGAAATTTTCGAATACTATCTTCACTGTACGTTCTCTAAAGCTTGATAATAATAAAGTATAAATTAAATATGAATGGATCAATAAATTAGTGGAAATAAAAAAAACTTATTTAATTTGTAGTTATACTAGAAAAAACACTTTTCTAGCAATTAGTGTAGACTAATTGAAAGATAACAATTACATTGCATTATGTAGCCGCTTAGGCTCAAAACGAAAGGAATGTAGTCTTACAATGAGAATGCTTTATATACGCTGAAATTGAAGATCAAACTTCGAATCAAAATGTTTTCTTCAGTAACCGCATATTACATATGATCAAAGTGTAAGTATACTACTTTAAAACGCGAGTATTTTAGTATACTTTGAAAGAAATGACAAGCCACAGAAGTGTATATCTAAAATTTAGAAGTTTTACGTTGCCATAAATTAAGTTGGATTAATTTAGTTCTTTTATATTAACCCAAACCATGCATTGCTTTTAGCTTTCGCTTATTTTGATATTTACTATGATTAGCATAATTATTCAAATTATAATTTTATTTATACGGTAATGTAGAAAAGAATAAGAAATTCAGAACGAATTAAAATTACCTCTTACTAGAAATATAATCATTCATAATTAAATAGTCTTCATTTACCCTTAGAGTAGTGGCAGCTTCTTCTTCATAGGCGATAGCGACAACAGCTAAAGTTAAGTTGATAAGATAAAAGGAACCAAAGAACACCACGAGCATGAAGAAAAAGACACTGGTTGGCCCTGTTGTGGCATTTATCTGAAAAGCACATACCATGACTTGCATGAATATAATGAAACTCAGTTTGGGAATTCGAAATTTTATGCTAATGACATTCACTAGTTTTTTATTCATAAAAATAATAAATTTCATTGCTTCCATTCTCCATTCGTGACAGCAGCTTTGTGGACGTGAGAAGCAATCTTCATCCGTCAAACTGTCATTGTTGACTGCGTGATATGTTTAAGATTTTCTAAAAAACAGCTGAGCATTTTCTTAAGCAATTATAATTTTGAACTAACTTCAGGAAAAAGCTATCAGTTATGTAAATAACCATACACTGAGTTAAAAGATTTATGGTAAATATGAACATCAACTTAATGCATTAAGAAATACAAACTTTCCTTTAAAATGTCTAAGTTCTCATAATAAAGGTTAGTTTATTACTTCAGATTGTCAACGAACAATTTCTAAAATCTTAACAGATTCTTTAATGTAGAGTGAAAAAACAATCAAAGCAAGCAAGAAGTGTATGTAGAAATTTGGTATGATTAATATATCAAAAATAGTAAAAAGTTAAGGATATAAATGTAAATATAAGACAAAAAGAGAAAAGAAATTTAAGCACTTATGCAACTTCTTCTCAATTGCGAACTACAAAACCCAGTTTTAACTAAAGAAAATAAGATATTGTCAGCTTTTTAGGCATTAATTGATTTTTTTTAATATTTCATCTCAGGTTTAATATTAATATTGCTTACCTTTTCTAAGGCAATTATAACAACGAAAGGGAGTTTACACATTTTTAGAAAGATTTCAATAAAGAATTACAAAAAAACCAAATGTTTTGGAATACAAAATCTCTGGTAACAGCTTATTATTTGAAATAAGAAATTCTAGCTTTAAATTTATTTTTTCAAAATGTCGCATGTAAACAAGCTGTGGACTGGATTGATGGATACATTTTTGAGCTTTCCGAAGAGAAATATTCCTTTTTCATAATTCAAAAAGGTTGTGAAATGCACAGTTTCTAAAGTTTCTACAGTTAAATCATGGCAACAAGAGAAAATACGCCGATGCAGAAATCAATTGCAAATAATATAACTGATCTTTCAATACATCTATAGTAACAATAAATAAAATACTAAACCAAGATTTACAACTTTAAAAAGCTAAAAACCATAATGTTCACCACTTTTTCCCAGACATGTGGCTCAACGCAGAACAATTTGGTGAACCCTGTATTAAAACTATTCAGCAGAAAATAAATGGAAATACATTTGACCCTTGATGAACAATGCAGTTACCTAAATGACTGCAACCAAAAAAGGTCTTTTTATTATCCAAAATGAAGAAACAATTGTACAAACCTGGTTGCCTCAATACAAAGGAAATTTCCGTAAGGCGTTTACGATTGTCGCGGGATTATCTTACAATGGGATATTTAAAATGAGAACAGTAGAGAGAAAAATGTTTAAATCAACTCAACGTGGCATGAGAAAGTTTTACGTCTGATATTTAGATACGAATTTTTTTTTTATCTCAATGACTTTCAAGGAGTGAAACTTCATGAAGACAAGGCAATAAGTCGTACTTCGAAAAGTATCACTGCAACCCTTGAAAAAATGAGGATTGGTGCAGTATTGCATATAGATCTTTTCACCACATTCCTACGAAGTGACGTTTCAGCTATGACCTGTTGTGCTTTGGACTCTTGAAGAGATCTTTCTAAGCGCAACCTTCAAAACATACGACTGAATGGCTCTGGAAAATACAGTAGGACCTCCAGCTACGAGTTTAAGTCGCTCCAGCATTGAGCTCGTATAGCGAATTTCTCGTATCTGGATACAAACTTCTCCATTGAAAATAATGGGAATCCAGTTAATCCGTTTCTCACCCCCGACAATATCAATTTGTCTAATGCATAACACTGGTAAATAATATAACCGTAGTTTCCCTTTATGATAGCTTCCGATATCGAATCGCCTTTTAACTGCTTCTCGTTAATCCACACCAACAACAGCTTTTCAATATCTTCTAGGAGTTTTGGACGGTGCTCGGAAGTAACGGTAACTCCTTTGACCACGTCAAGTTTCTTAACTTCGTCCTTATTCTTCAGAATAGTGCAGATCGTTGATGTCCGAACGGCCAAAAGTCTTCGCTAATTCCGTCTCTCTTACACCATGTTTATGTTTATCTATGATTTCTTTCTTAATTTCAATGGCCATAGCTTCCTTTTTTTTATTTGCATCACTATTTGAGGCCACAATCTTCATGGCAGGCATCGTGAATGAATTATTTTCAAGTTAAATGTAAAAAACAATTAACTCACAAGCGCACATATAAGCAGATCAAAGAACACTGAATAATCTGACTAGGGAATTCCTTGAGTCAAGGCAGATTGAGAAATAGCGCCACGCATACCAACAGCCTGGCTTATTGCTCGTTACTCGAGTCAATGCTCGTATTTAGAGACGAGTTTTTTGCTCATACTTTCCTCGTATCTTGAATATCTCGTATATAAAGGTATTCGTATCTCAAGGTTCCGCGGTAGTGAAGGAGGTATAGAAATCAGTGCCCCTGGAAACAAATAACGTTTAATCGAATATTAAATACACTCATGTCCATAAATTAAGGATAATGCAAAATCAGGGCAAAGAAAGAGTTAGAAGCAAAACAAATTTGACTTATTTGTAAAGCTTATTTATTAACAAAAGGTAAAGAGCAAAAACAGATGCTATATGTTTGATATTATTAAAAAAATTAGCGATTTTTTTTCTCCCTGGAGCAAAATTACAAAAAAAAAAAAAAAAAAACTTATTTACAAAAAACCAATTATACATGGTTGGTTTGATTGTTAATACATTGTATGTCTCCCAGACGATGCAATACAGTCCGTACAACGCCTAGGCATCTGAGTATCAAATTATCGATCTGATCTTGGGGGATATTACATCACTCAAAAGCAATGCACTCCGAAGGTTCCGGTAGACATGTAGAAGGAGGTTGACGGGCTGCAACTCGTCGGCCAAGCATGTCCCACACGTGTTCTACTGGTTCAAGTCTGGTGAGAATGCTGGCCAGTCTGTACGGGTGATATCCTCCGATGAAGGCATTCGCTTACGATATTTGCAAGGTGAGGACTGGCGTTGTCATCATAAACACAATTGTGTGCCCATGGCACCCCGAAACAAACGTACATGTTGTTCCAGAATGACGTCCCGATAGATTTGGCTTGTCATGGTTCCAATTTAAACATGAAGGTCAGTTCTGGAACCCAGAAATAATTCCACCCCAAACGAGCACTCCTACACCACCGTAACGGTTTCGTTCAATGATGTTTTCTTGGTGGTAACGAATACCTGGAGCTCTCCAATATGAAAGTCCGGCGAGAATCAGACTGCAAGCTAAACCTGGACTCGTCGGAAAACATCACACAAGCCCACTGTTGCGGTGTCCACAATGCATGCTCTCTACTCCAGGCTAACCGCAGGCGACAGTGAGTTGCAGTAAGTGGAACGCATCTGACAGGTCTACGAGCATATAGAACCAATCTGCCCTAAGCGTCTGTACACGGTCTGCCTTGAAATTGTCGTAACCAGTGGCTGAAGAGAGCTGACGAGACAGGTCTGAGGCTGTGCTCCTCCTGTTTTTTTGGCAGTAACTGCCAAATAACGGTCCTCATTCGGCGTTGTAAGTCTGGGGCGACCTGTGCTGTAACGTCTACTCACATTACATCATTTGGAATCGTTGCCAAAGCCTGGAGATGACACTCTGGGCAATTCCGAGTTTGTTTGATACTTCCAGTTGGGTACGCCCACATTCCAGACGGCCGATAATTCTACCACGTAAAAAATCATCCAAATGCGTCCTTTGTGTCATAACTATTCGGTTATTGCATTGAAATGCTTATAAAGCGCCTGCGAACAATTTTACTTCTTTGCCTGTATTCCTTACATATCACTCTCTTACACTCTCGTCATTGTGACGTACCATCGGTGTCATCTGCTTACTTCCTGAAATTTCCATATGATTCTTGAAGATGTGTGTAGTGATTTTACAGGTGATATATTAATTTTAGAGTTCGATTTCCGCGTGACTCCGAATTATCCTTAAATTATGAACATGAGTGTATATCTACTATGCGCACGTTGAGTGTTATAAGGCGAAATTCGCCGGCATTGAAGAACTACTTCTGCAACCAGTATTATCAGGAAGGCATACTTTAAGAATAGTTACATAATTAAAGCAACGCAGTTACATAATTAAAGTAATTTAATAAATACAGTATTGCATTAGTTAGTTCTATCTGCATAATTTTAAGCTGCTTTACTAAAAGCATTAATAATTTCGTGAATTTTGCAATCTGTTGCAGCTGAAAAGTATGTCAAAGAATATTTTGCCAATTCAGAGCATTTTTAATTTAGGTAAATAACTGATATGTTAAATCGACCAGAAAATTGAGAGGAAAACTGAGCTGATGTGACATATCTGTATGAGAGAAATGACGATTAATAAAACAAAGCAGAAATTCACAAATAAAGGTTAAATATATAACTTAATAAATATCTTGTCACGTAGAAAAGAAACAAAAAATTAAATACAACGACACTTGGCTTAAAATTGAGTCTTATAATTAAAGGCATTAAATGTTTAATGCTATCAAGTAAAATTAGAAACATAACTTAACAATTATTGCAATTTGTTTGATATGAAATAAAATTATATTTATTATATTTACGTGATGGTATATACATATATTAAAAATAGTTATCATATTATTACTTATGAAAAAATAAACTTAACAAATACATCAGCAGTAAGCCATTTTATTATTATGTTAGTGCTTTAAAGATTACATTATATTTGGAAAATTAAATATATGAATATAATTAAACAATTCCTTACACGAATAAATGCATTCACTAATTTAACAATCAAATAATTGTAATTCTTATTCCAAGAATTGTAGGTGTCGAAATATCTTCCCTGTCTTAGAATTGTTTGATGACTGCTTTTAAGTAAATGGAATAGATCATTCTCATATCTTCAATGTTAGTATTCTGTCAATATTCATTAACTATAATTGTCTTGAATTAGTCATATGAAATTTATTTATCTTTACGTGGTTCTCTCTCTGTTTGACTGCATAAATCCATTCGCTTAAAATTTCCCTTTTCTGAGATTTAAAGGAAATTTTCAAGTAAATTTCTGGTATAAAATTTGGCAAATTTAATAAATTATGATAATATGAAACTAATTTAGCAAAACGTATTTTCAAACGGTCAAACTCGTGTAAAATTCTAAGAAGGAGCCTATATATGTATATATTTATATACATAATTATACTTTGAAAACCCTTTTTTCTTTTCATAATTACCTTGTTATAAACATCTTCCCAGTAATCTAGAGTGATGAGCTGGAATGTGGTTAGTAATGCCCATCCGTAAGAATCAAAATTCGTGTAACCAAAATTTGGGCTTTTCTCCTATACCAGGCAAACAAGAATAATTCTCTGGACACTTCCTGAAAGCATAAAAGCAAATAAAAAGAATATTCTAACAAGAATAAAGAGAATACAAATAATCATAAATACATAAAGTGTTAAGAACTAGGTATAACAGAACAGCAGGACATTTTAAATAGACAAGATGTGGAGACTCTAAGACTTCTCGGAGCAGTAAATGTGAAAATCAAGTACGTGGTCAGTGTGATCGAACCGCCGACCTTTCAGTTGGTTGCGAATTGTTCTAATCGCTAGACCTCAACACTGCATAAAAAGGAAAAGCAACAATTCCGTACAGAAAAGATGTTCCTATATCAGTATGGAATGCACGAACATTCACCAGCTCAGAATTTAAATTTAAGAAAAGGGCAGTAAATAGAAATAAAGACAAAATAAAATTTAAGTTACGTTTTGTATCCTTAATGTTAGATAGACTTCTTTCTAGAATTTGTTGTTCTTTAGGTTCAAGTAACTATGAAAATTAATTGCAATGCTCATTTTTATCAAGTCTATATAGAATTCCAATTTTGCTATAAAAATTTTGGCATTAAGTCGTCAAGTGTCTCCAAATGGTATCACAGGAACAGTTCAACGAGTGCTTCTGTACCTAGTTGATATTTTGACGAATATTTATGTTATATGCAAGAAAAATAAATATAAAATTAATATTCATGCCAGAAACAAACAGCTTATCTTTTGAATCTTCCATTTAATAGATACTTCCACATGCCCTTCAGAGTTTGAACCAATAAGTAATGTTTTTAACTCTCACATTTGTATTACAGTACCGAATTGAGTATAAAAACAAAAGATTTTAGTTCAGATGCAAAAAAAAAAAAAAAAAAAAAAAAAAAAAAAAAAACATATAAATTAAAAATTCCTCCATGAAAGCAAAAAATAATTTGTTATATTATTTGAAATATTATCCTCCTGTAGTGGGTTTAGTTGGAGTTAAAATGGTTCTCAGTAAGAATTTCATCAATTACGAATCAATCATAGATTGTAATTTCATAACGATGCATGCTTTATAACAGCCTGATGCAATTTATGCCTGTCCGTTCATTTATATCCAGCGAATAGGATCTTACTACAGTAGAAGTCCATTAGTCCGGCATCCAACAGTCCGGAATGCCCGATAGTCCGGCATCGCTCCGGAAAATTGTAAAAATTTTGGTTTTCTCCAAAGGTGTGTCTTTAAAGCAAATAAAACCGCTCGAGAAGCAATTCGGAAGTTTCGGGGTAGTTCGAGATCATCCGGAAGCGCTCGGTATTGTTCGGAAACAATTAGCGGCCGGCTAGTCTCAGCTGTCACAACAAATTCAGGTGCAGTGCAGCTCCGTTAATCAATCACGAAAGTGTCTTCGCCATTTTTTTGTGCGTTGTTCTTTTGTGTCCTTTCACATTCGCAGTAAACGTAACTTTGAAACTGTTTATAAAAAAAGTGATTTTCGTTCTAACTGTACAGTGACCATGTTTTCAAAACCTAAGCCTTCGAGTTCAAAAGGAGAGGAACGAAAACACGTAACACTGACTCTCAATCAGAAACTAGAAATCATCAAACGGCTAGAAAAAGGCGAAAAATAGAAATGTTTTTAATGAATGAGTTTAATATTGGCTCATCAACTATTATGACATTAAAAAACAAAAAAGATGAACTAATGAAGTTTGCTTCTCAATCGGTAACAACTGAAAAATTGGCTTCTAGACAAACATTAAAAAAACCAAACCGGAACAGCTAGATAGTGTATTGTTCAAAATGGTTTAGTGCAGTACGTTCTGAAGGAAAGCCGGTAACAGGACCAATGATTGTTGAAAAGGCAAGAAATTTGGCCAAGATTTAGGAGTTGATGAAAGTGAATGTAATTATTCTGATGGTTGGCTCAGAAACTTTAAGTTTCGGCATGGAATTCGAAGACTTGATGTAACTGGAGAAACCCTTTCAGCAAACCAAAAACTCTGCAGAAAAATACAAGACGAGTTTGAGAAAATCGTGGCTGATAATGATTTAACACCTGAACAGATTTACAATGCTGATGAAACATGGCTATTGTGGCGATGTTACCAACATCTACCTAGCTGGGGGAAGAGAAAAAAAAAGCAGCCAAGGGTTTTAAAAAAAACAAAGACAGATTAACCGTTTTGCTATGTGCTAATGCGTCTGGAAACCACCGAGTGACCCCTTTTGTGATAGGTAAATCTGCAAAACCCAGGGCTTTTAAGAATGTTACACACTTGCCTGTCCAATACGATGCTCAATCAAATGCGTGGATAACTGCCGCCCTCTTTAAAGACGTGTTTTCACCACTTTGTGCCTGAGGTCAAAGAATCCTTCAAAAGCCTTGGTCTACCAGAAGATACTAAAGCCATCCTTCTTTTGGACAATTGCAAAGCCTATCCGCCAGTAGGTGAGTTAGTTTCTGGAAATATTGTTGCTACTCTGCTCCCACCTAACGTAACATCTTTGATTCAACCCATGGACCAAGGGGTTATTCAAAATTTTAAATGCTTTTATAGAAGGTCTTTTATTTAAGGCCTGTTAAATGCCGACTGTGACGTGACTGATTTTCAAAAAAAGTTTACAGTAAAAGATGCCGTCTATGCTATTGCACAGTTTTGGAACCAGGTAAAAAATACAACACTCCAAAAATGCTGAGAGAGAAAACTTTGGCCAGCTGCAAACCCTGCATCTGACCAACTCTACAGACTGATGAGGAAAAAAAACCATCAAGAGCCTCTGACCAAAGTTTTGGATGTCGTTAGAAGTACTAACAATCCCTTGAAAAACCTGCCTGAAGATGAGGTAGAGGAGTGGCTTTTAATCGACGAGAATGAGAATGAGCCTGTTGAACAAGAACTAACCAATGAGGACATTATCAACATTGGTAGTAAACCCTCAGCCTACTCAAAATCTTGAAGAAAATGACTCAGATGCCGAAACGGAAGAGAAAAGGAAAAAAAAAAATCAGCTGGGCAGAAGCTGCAGAATCACTAAATAAGTTTATCTCTTTTGCCGAGGCTAGTACTAGCTACAGTGCTTCAGAAATTATTGATTTCCATATCATTAGAAATAAATTTTATACTAAACGCCAAAAGTCAAGAAAACAAAAAGACATTCGTGACTTTTTTAAATCTAAGTGAAATATGTTTTACAGTACGTGTACATACATTATATGAAATGTAAAATAAACTTTGTTGTATGTATTTGCATACTGTATTTTTAGTTTAATTATTAACCTAATTGTTCTTATAATTACCGCCCGATAGACCGGAATTTTCGGTAGTCCGGCACCGAGCCGGTCCCGAACGTGCCGGATTATCGGACTTCTACTGTATATACCCCTGATTCTGTTTACAGTTGACGTGTTTTTCCCTAGTGCCATTCCCCGCAATAATTTATATTTATATTTATTAATGAAGATAAACTTTTTGCAACTGTCCAATATATAAAGCTCAGATTGATGAGAAATGCACCGAGAGTCACCTCTCTCCCAGTTTTCAAAATAGATATGTTTCGTTCAAATCTTTAAAATACATAATTATTTCTGGAAACAAATACAGAGCATTTATGTTTTATAACTAAAATATTTTGAAAACCACAATTCTTTTAAATAATTAAAAATCAATGCTTTGAGGGCTATTAAAATGCAAAGTATAATATAGCTAAATAGTGCAAAGAGTTAGTCCAATGTAGAAAGACAAAACATCATTGAAAATATAAAGTGGATAACATTATTCAAATCTTTTACAATTCAATGGTTGAAATTACCCCTAATAGTATGTTTTGGAGTAATGAGAAATATTTATGGAATTAGAATTCTGAAGTGAAATAACATATGTTGCGCGTAAAAGACACGGGCACTGGAAAGTTTTAGTCATCTTTTTAAATTCAAAGGCTGTTCCAAAAGTCTAAAATTACAATGTACTTTTCGTTAAATGTGCAGATGGTTTTTAATGCTGTATCTTCAATCAATTCAGAGCTCTCTAGTAAAGCATTGCTTTGGGATTTTTATAAACATTGAAAACTTAAATGCATTTGTCGTACCTTGCTCCTGTTTTGTTCCCACAAACAGCAGGTTGACCATCTCCATCCAAAAGCCACATGGATCTGTTGTTGACATAAATGGCGTAACTTTCGTGAGAAATATTTTGTGAAGGAACATTCAAAACACATTTCTGCCGTAACAAACCTACGTATAGCTATAAAAAGAAATAAAAACGTAACTGAAATGTCGCCTATAAGATATAATTAAAAATATAATGCTGACCTCATTTGAGACAGACATCCTCATTGAAGAAATCTACAATTAAATAAAAATGCGCAAAATTAATTCTTTTAAATAATTAAAAATGCGCTTTCGATTCATTAATTAAATTCGGGTAGAAACTCCTATCTCAGCAAAATAGGCGGATCTCCCCAATGCACCAAAGCATAAGCAACAGCTTTCACGGCCCAGCAAGTATTGCATTCTAAACGAAATATGAAATATTTAATTTAGCTTCTGTTTGTTCTGTAAATAGCCAATTTTTCACAATGCCAAAATCAAAATTTATCTTCCAAATTACAAATGCAATTTTTAAACGAACTGAGTAGTTAAATTAATTAATAGCTCTGAACCTACTTTTTAATAATATAGATCTTTATATTATTTTTACGCAATATATCTAACTGCAATTTTTAATGAATTTAGATATCGTTTATAATGTAGCCAATTGATAACTGCATGACCATTTGCATCATGTTGAAATAAAATAAAAAAAATTTAAGCCCGTATGTTTTGTAATAATCATCTCGGTTTATTTTCATTATTTTATCTAAATTATGGAATAGCTAGCTGTTAATTTTTATGATATTTATACCATCATTATAATTACTAAAAGTTATTCTATCATCATACATCACGTATGATCATCATACATCACGTATGGTGATTACAGAATAAACATCTGAGTACCATTTAATCACTAATTCACGCATTTTCTGAATTTTTCTTAAAGAAAAATATTACATGTACTTTCTTATAAATTATATTTAAGCAATTTGAAGTTAAATGTTTTTTAAACTTTGTATAACAATAAAAAATGTTTTAAATTTTTTACCGCGTGAAAGCTTTAAAATTCCTTGAGTAAATTGATTCTTTTCTGTTTCGAATTGGATACTTCGTCCAATTAAAACTTGTAATCTAACTATATTAGGTGTAATAAATGAAATACTGAGATAACGTTTTAATTACTTTACTGAAACACATCAAAATCTTTAATTTGGATTTAAATTACTTTACAGTTAAAATTTATTTTAGCGATCACATTTTGTGTTATTCAAAAAATAATTATTTTTTGTTATTTGGTTAACAGTCTGATAAAAAATTACTTTTATATTTTTTATATAACTATAGGACTCTAGAACCGAAATAACTCGATCTGCGGCTGTGTAATAGCTTAACCACATCAAATTTCGTTTACAAATGCAAATTACCCTTCTGTTGCAAGCTTCACTGTACTTCAGCTAATGGAGCGACGAGTACAAAAGAAAAAGGGTGGACAATGAAGGTCACTGTTTTACCAATTCGATTAATGAGTACCTTGGCCATTTCGAGGCCTAAATTACTGCGAAGTGTGTCGAGAGGATGACATTAATTATGTACGTCTCTTTTTTAATCGCCGTCAGTAGGAGGAATTCATTTAGAGCCGCACGAAACATTTTTCTGTCATGAGTTACCGCAAATAAATATGCAAATGAGTCATAGATAAGTCTCAAAAGTGTCCTTAAAAGGTTGGACATAAACCCATGGCCTGTCATGGAAAAGGAAATTAGGTTAGATAGTTTTTTACCTTGAACTTCAAATTAAGCTCTAGACAAAGTGAAATCGTGGTATGGTTATAAATAATTTACTTTATCCCTGTTCATTATTCAGAGATTTTAGAAAAAAAAATAAAAAAGTAAGTCCTCTGTTTTCACGACATGTTTCAAATCTGAAAACTGAAATTATTTCGTTTATTTTTGCTTAGAATTGTGATGCAATAATTTTTTCTTTTGTAACAAAATATTTTATTGAAAAAGGTAAGAAAATTTAATACTAACGGTAACACACTAAAACATGAACGAAGATTTGAATGTCAACTACCATTACTTTAAAATGCAATAAAAAAATATTCGTTCTCGGACCAGGAGCAAATAATTATTCTGTACGTAATATACAAGGTGAGTAGGAAATATGACAACATGTTTAAAATAAATGTACTACATTACTATACATTGTACAAAGAAATGGGAATTGATATATCAAATGTAAAACTTCCTTTTTTTTTATTTTAATTAACAGTCACGTATCCATGCTTATATCAGTCATTAAGACTGAGAATGTCCAGTGTGGTCATAAGAAAACATCCCTGTTATATGAGCCCCTAGCGGCTTATCCGCTAAACCATCGAAAAGAAAAAACACACAATGTCAAATGGATGCAATGCGTTATCTTCTGCGAAGGTATGCTCGTAGAAAACTTCTAATTCCAGTCAAATGTTTTTGCCTCTTCTCGGTTGTGCTGTCATTGGTCTTTTATAATGCTCTTCTTTGCAAATATTTTAGCCAGCATTTTTCGTCATTAGTGTATGTATCATTCGTACCGAGTATTGCCCAGAAAACCGTGACGCAGTAAGACTGGAAGTGCATGATTTTAATGCCTTCAACTATCAACGGTAGAGAAAACAACTCAGAAATCCAGAAGGTATTACCTCATTTTTCCCAGCTATAATACTCTCATCACACATGCGATCAAACGTGTAGCCGTATTTTCTGACTTATCTTGTATTACGTTAAATGCGTCATTATTAATTTCAATGGAGGTGAAAAGTTTATAAAAATTATCAGTCAAATACAGAAATGAAAGCTGCGAATCATAAACTTAAATTGTTGAGGAACGTTAACTATTGAGAGAAGCTAATACATTTTACTCTACAGGCTTGATACAAGTATGTACTATGTTCTGTCAGCTAACGCAAATGAGGCTCTACAAAGGATATTTAATATCTGATGTGAACAAGAATGTTTTAACGCTTTTATTGGTCTTAACGAGCGCTATTATTTACCAGTATGGGTTTTCAACTATATTGCATTAATATATTTTTCAGTTATAGTTATGCTGAATGTAGATATTTAAAATGCAAAAGATCAGAATAATTGAAAGGATAGACAAAACTTTTATCTTTTCTACTATATATCACGTTTAAAATAAAAATAAGAGATAACCTTGATTTACGAATAATATAATAATAATTTATCGATATTTCTTGGCAGTTATTAAACTGGAGTCAAACTTGCCTCAGAAATTGAAAAACAGAGCAAAAACGAAAAAAAATTGTGATGTACGAAACTTCTCATTTTTCATTTTATTGTTCTGTTATATAATGTAGTATTATAACTAGAAAAATGTATTTAAGATCGAGCGCAAGATTGACAGCAACTTTTAGAATTCGCAATGAGCCGACCCGCAGGATTGACTAATCGCTGACTATAAACTGTCCTCTGTTATAGAGAATAATACTTTTGTAATTATACCCACTTTTGCACATTTTCAACAAAAACGTTTCATAATGGATGTAACTTCTGAAAAAAAAAAAAAAAGAATAATCTGAAAGCTTTTAGATTTTTTATTACTCCCAAAAGTTTTTTTAACGTTTTGTGTGCAACCTGTATTTATTAAACATCATGTTCTTCCCACTTAAACCACATAAAATTCAATTCAACAGCAGTATCACTAAATATTTAAAAACAGTATATCATTAGAATTTCCGATAGACAGTTTCGCGCGCTGGAGATAAAAATGTTCTTTTCCTGTACAGTTTTGCGATTGCTCCCTTTAAAATCGTTTAGTTTGTTAATCAAAAATTCGTTAAAGTTTTACAAAATGTGAAATAGATAATAAAAGAAATTCGAGACTCAAAATTCGGGCTTTCAGGTACCTGTGTAGGATTACGTTATTCAAAATTTAATGGATCTTTTTTCACAACGCGAGAACCATACTTACATTCATGCACATTCTCCTTTATTTAATTTCTTTTAAAATGATATAGGGCAATAATATTTGGTGGCAACAATTTGAAATATGATTCAAACTTTTACAGTTATTCAAAGCAAAATTCCGTTTCTAGACTAATAGCTCTTCTGCGATAACGCTCCTTTGGGCTAAAAAGGGCAATTCTATAACTACTATTTTACTAGGGTGACTGACGAAATTTAATTTGCATTCTTCATGTCTCGAAATCGTGACTTAGGATATATATAATACTTATATATAGCATTGTTCTAACATATGTATTTTGACACAAAATCGGACATTCCTGAAATGACATACCGATGTTTTTTTCCACATTTCGATTCTACCACTCAAAATATGTTTAATATTAAAATTTCGTGAGAATTTAAATAGAATTAGAGAGGTATTTATATTTTGAAAAATGTAGTACCGAGAAATCTAAAAATCTATCTTGGGGCACGTTTTTAGTTTGCGACAAGCATAATTCACTTGTCGAAATTTCTAATTTATAGTAACCAATTTTCCTTTCCCTTTAATTGAGTACGAGGGGAAAAAAGGGGCTTTGTTTATTCTCTCAAATAATTTTAACGGAGTAAAATAATTATAATCTAAGTCCTTTTGAATATTTTTCAACAAACAGTATTGGAATTAACATCCACAAGCAAAGCTTATAAATTTTGTAGTAATATATACCGACTTTCAAGATCATGCAATTCGCGAGCTTAAAATTTCGTTAGATAATTTTGTCGAAAATAAAGTTAACAATAATACACGATGTCTTTTTCTTCATTAATGATTAAAACTCCTATTGCTTTGCTTTTGATAGATAATATTTACTCTAACAGTTGCATCTCTGTGCTTATACATACAATATTATATATGTAAGTACTTGTATACTGTCTAAAAATTCCTAGCTGATTTATTATTATTTCGGGTTTAGGAACAATTTGCTCAACTGCACTTTAAAGCCAATCTGAATGAAAATTCAGTTATAAATGTGATAAAAAGTACAGCATCAGAAGCTATGAAAGGAACTGGAATCACATTATCACCTGTAAAGCCAACAATGCAAACACCATCAAACAAAAGACTGTAAGGGTCATCACTTCGGCGAGCATTCCAAGAGAGTGTAACATGGCATTCACAATGGTTTTCAGTCCTAAAGTAAAACAAAACATAATTTTATAAACAATGTAGCTTTCAATAATTGATTTAAATAAAAAATATACATTATCGCTTCGAAGCTTAAGGAAAACAACTGTTTTTCTATTACAAGTATTTTTATGCTGCAATTAAAACATTTTAATCACAGTTCTAAAAAAGTTATATTAAAAGAACTATTTATAAAGTGTCCAGAATAGATATATTATTCTTAGACTTTTATTAAGTTATAATAATATCTGAGAACCTGAAAAAGAAATATTCAAAAACGGTACTCCAGATTTTATTTTCATATCTAATGCTGCTGTTCTTCAGAAATCATCAGAGAACTTCCACGAGTGATAGACACAAATAAACGATTACATTTTTATTAGTAAACTCATTTATTTATTTTATATTTTTAATTTGTCTTTGATTTTTTAATTATTTATTTATTTTCATTTTTATTTGCTTATCATGTATATTTCTTTTAACTGTCTTTCAAGATCCTGTCTCTTAATATTTTCTTCAATTTAGATTTATTAAATTATAGTTAAGAGCATGACGGCTATTTGCTTCCTAAGAAAAATAGGCCCGTATTTCACATTATATGTGGTGAAAGGCATGTAGTCACGAAGCATACGGGACCTGGACTTAAACCAACATCTAGTTATCTTACCAACATGGCCGCTTTGCTGGGTCTTTTTTCGTAATCATTTTAGTTAGTTTGACTTTAATTAGAATTAGAATGAATAAAGCAATTTAATCAAATTAAATTCAAAAGCTATTATATTAATTTTAAGTCAAACTATTTTTCGATTTAATTTGGCGGTTTAATTTTTGTAACACTAAAATCGTTTGCATTCGTAAGGATAAGAAAGCAATGTCACTGTTTATTAAGGTAATAATTTACCAACATCTGCCGAAGTTAATCTATTATAGTTAATAAAGTATTGTTGGGGAACGGCATCTCTATAGCTGCACAGTATAAATTGCATTCTGGCTTTGGGTATGTCGATAAGTAATAATTAACTTATTATTTATTGTTTTAAGCAATTTTAGTATGAAAATAAACTTTTATATTAGTTCTATTGGCATAAAACTTGTTTTAATATGATTTAATTAACTAAAGTAGCTCATTTTTAACGCGTAGAATATATCTTAGTGTTTATATTACATAATGTGTTCGTTTTACACAAATTCATTTTGCAACGCAACACTCACAGTAAAAGGTAGATGGCTGTGTTTACTACAGTTTTGAAATTCCTAATTCGGAATTTTTAAACAATTAGCGAATAAGAACATCATTTTTTTAAATTTAAAATTTCAAATGTTTTTCAATGCACGGAGGGGAGGGGGAATCTTACCTGGTGTTATGGAAACAGTTTTCAATGCTCTTAACACTCGAAATGTTCGAAGTCCAGATAAATTTCCAATCGCTACACCAATAGCTTGTAAACTTAGAGTGATATATCTGCAAAAGAAATCAATTTGTGCTTACCAAAATATACTATTTTTTAACACAAGTTGTTACGCTTGATCATAACAACTTATCTATGGCGATATTTTATTTTTTAATCGAATATATAGAAGATAACTGAAAACCTGTGCGTTAAAAGTAATGTAGTTAAATCTAACCTTCTAGAAATATTGACGAAATCATCGTTTTAAGATCAAATGGGCAAAATGGGAATTTTACTGCGCTCAATCTTATCTGCCACTTAACCAAACGCCTAATTAAAAAGCGAATCCTGTCTTAATTCTTTTCTATCTAACGGGATTCAAGAGCAACGTGGGCTTTCCTAATCTAAAAATACATTTAACTACTTGCTTTTTGTTTTATTAAAAGAATAAATTGCACTGTATTCAAAGAACGAATCACATCGTACTATGTTAAAATTTACATTTTCTAAGCCGAAAAAAGCAAACTTAAATTCCAGCTGAGAGCACCTTATATTTTGCCCTTCCTGAATATTTTTAAATAATGTTTTATTATTATTTTATTTAACTGAATTATGAAAAATGAACATACAATTTAAATTACACCGTACACCAAAATTAGGAAAACGAAATCGGGCATATACCAATAAGGTTTTTTTTTTTAATGTATTAAGTTAAAGCATAGACTATCTTAGAATAGAAGAAAGAATCTTAGAATTGTAAGAGTATCTATAAGAGTATCTATGCCTTTGTTGAAATATGGTAACCGGTTTTTTTCATGATTACTATATTTCCTTTACTTCGTACAAGAAAATAAAAAAAAATGCTCATCGCTTCAACAGAAAAGGGAATAAAAATTAAAATAATCTACAAAGAATGCGCTTTTGCAGCGAGTATAATAACTTTGAAAAGTAACTAAATATATAAAATAATTCAGGAGAAATTAAATAAAATCTATTATATTTACCATTTATATCCTCTTACATCTTGTCATTGAAATAAGACATCATTTAAATAACCATGTTTCAATAAATAAAAATATTCGCTATTTATTAATTACGAAGAATCAACGAAAATGTTTACTTCAAAAGTTCAATCTGAGAGAATTTTCCTAGCTAACATTTTTTGAGTATTAAATAAGGAGGATATTTGTTTTTGAGTGTTAAATTATACATTAATTTCGCTAATGGAGCATCATTACATTTTTTGCGGAAAAAAAGTGAAACTTTTTATTCCTATTAAAAAATATGATTATTACTGAATCTCCAGATAAACTTAGTATGCCAGAAAAGATTATAGATTTAGACGAACATTTTTCATTTTGAGCTATTGAATTCAGATCTTTGTTAAATAATATTTAATATTAACTGATAATATTTAATGTTAATTGAATGTTTAGAAGGGCTTAGATCACTATTGGATAAAATTCATAATGTAAAGAATGAACATACTAAAGAAATCATAAAAACATCGTCATTACATCAAAAGTACCATAATAGAAAGGCAAATGTGCATGTGATGTACTAACAATAATACTTTCAGATTTAAAAGTAGAAAAACAAAGTGAAGGGGAAATGCGTGCTAAAAATTCCAATTGCTGTTATATATTCCATCCTGTAATCATAAATGTAGCTATGGTGATAATAATAAATAGGAGATGACGCTAAAAGCCTTTGGTCATAAAATGCAGATATGTTGACATCTGTGCATCTTCCAGCTATGATTTAGAACTTGCTAGTCTAGTTAAGTATTTTCCAAATTTGCCGCACGGAAAGCAAGTATCGTAACAACACAAATACTTAATAGCAGTTGATAAATTACTTTCAATACTTTATTATATTTATATATAATATTCCTGGATCAAATGTATCGAGGAATCATGTGTTATCAATCTCAACGTTCGTGCTTATTATTATGATGGCGATTTCTTTAATAAAAAACTTCTTTAAGGATAAAAATTTAGTCAATACTTTTACCACTTTAGGATACTTTTTCAAGAAAGCTGTCTGGGCTTTTAGAAGTTTTTGATAAATTTTCGTGCATAGTCACTCTAGAATTATGCAAAACCATCAGCTTAAGCGATGAGATGAAGAAGCGAATATGCTACTGCTGAGTTGCTTTTTCTGTGCTGGATTTCATGGTTCATTTTAAATTTTACGCCATTTATTATGTTCCACTTTGGATTAATTACTGCGCCTCATAAAATTAAAAGTGTTACATTTCTAATAAAAGGAATTTAAATTTGCTTTGCTAAAAATCAAAACTAGGACCGTTTGAAAAACGTTTTCTTTCATAGTTTAGAATTTTAAAACCACTTGTTATAAGGAATTAATATGTGTGCATGTATTATTTTGCAAGTCAGCAGCATTCTAATTAATTTTATTCGATTATATACGTAAGGGTTTAAATTTTTAATTATATATTTGTTTGAATATAAGTTAATTATAAATTATTTTTGCCTGTTCTCCAATTCACAGAACAAGGTGGTTAGCTAATTTATAAAACTGCTTTATGTAACTAAATTAACTAACTTTAGAATTTACTAAATGAGCGAAATAAAAACAAGACCTTGTATATTGTTCTTTAAAAAATTATTGTGATTCTAAGTGATTAATACATTGAACGTAAAAGGAAGAACCTTTTTATTACAACATTCGCATTTAGTTCGAAGCGGGGTAAAATTATCAAGCAGAAACGGAGCAATGTAAGTAAAAACTGCTATTACGTAAAATGGCAAACTTGTGACCATATAATCTTCTCCAGCTACCAGTAATTTTTTACTAGCAGCTGTTAAAAAATATTGTGGGTTATGGAAAACCTTTGACACATATTTTTCATTCTTCTAACTGATAAGCTTCAAATTGCATATTATGATTTTTTGAACTTATAGCACAAATACTTTCTCAGGTCGAAAGGTTTTGTAAATTTAAACTACGTGCAACCAAGTTAGAAAAAGTGGTTCTAAAGTGCAACACTTGCTACTCTTTTGGAGATGGTATCTTCCTAAGATCATGTGCATCCCATCTTCTTAGGGCGGCAGACTTTATTCTCTTGAACTAATCTGTTTTTCGCATCCAAACTACCAAACTACTATAACTTGTTTTCGGCTTGATATTCTGTAGCATATAAGTCATGGCGAAAGTGTTTATGGTTTTTCTTTTCATTAATTTTCTTCTTCTTTTTCTTTTCTTCTTGTAAGGATCCCACTTCTGCTATCCATCTGAGGTTGTACAAAGTCAGGGTCCATATAGAATTATCTTAATTACAAGCATGGGCAAACATGCAAAAACGCTCCACTGTATGCATGAAGTTCATTATATACTGTACTAAAGTACTTATGTTTTTATAGAATACAAGAAGTCCTTCCTTTACGCCGATATAACCCTCAGATAGCAGTTAGTTTTTGTTTTTCCCAATGGCGAGCACTAGACGTTATAGACCTTGGCCACTACTAAGGCCAGAAGCGGTGTTCACTTTATTATGGAGGCCCCTAAAAAAGAGCCACTGTTGCCTCCTATGAACGGACAGACAATTTATATCCATGCCTTTCTCCGGGATTCAATCCCGGGCCTTTTGGTACGGCAGTGAGAGTCACTAACCACTTTCCCATCTGGGCAGCTACCAGTTACATTCTGCTCAGGAAAATGTATTCGCGATTTCTAAGTTTTCCGTCAAAATGTTTCGTTTTCTTCCAATTCCAAAGGCAGTCATAGCATAATTGCTCATGAAATTTATTTCAGGTTTTCTTCATAACCTCCATACTTCATTCTGTGTGTTGTTGAGAGACAGATAAGAGACCAGTTAATGTCACCAGGAACATGCCTTTATTTTTTGCATAATATTTCTGAAGTTCTGACTGAATATATTTTAGGCTGATTTAGTCTTGTATTTGTAAAGTCTTATTGTTGGTCACAGCAACCCAGCTAAAGGTGGCTCAGTAACCAGCAAGTATCCAGGAAAAGAAGTCTAGCATATCTTTTGCTCATATTACAGCAATTCGAAGATTCCCCCTGTTAATTTCCTTCATTTTTTCGGATTAACTTCATTTGCCATGTTTATTTTTAGCACATTCAATTCAGAACCTTTTTATGCTAGAATAGAGCTTCTGGATATAAGGTATTTCTCCCGCCTTCCTTGCGTGCCTTCCTGGTGTAGTGATCAACACACTGAGCCGGTACTTCAGGCGTCCGTGGTTCGATTCCCGCCGAAGGCGTTGCTTAAATAAAAAATCCTAATGTCTCTAGATGGAAATCTAAAAAACTTCATAACAAAAAGCAAAAAAAAATAGATTCAGAAACTTTTATTTGTCTTAGAATTCGCACAATTAGATGGTAAAATTATTTCACATTCTGAAATAATGGGCGCAAGTCTCTGTAAGGTTTATATAATCTTCCTAAAAGAAAAGGAACACCATCCCTACTCTCAGTATTTTCAGTTAGGTGCCTGATATGAGTTTAAAGATAAAATAAATGCATGTATACAAATGTCTCGTAAAACATTAATATAATAAATTAAAAATATTTTTATTAAACCATGTCATATTAAGAAACTGTATAGTTTATGAAAATTGGAAAGCTGTTACATCATATCGTGACTTACATCATATCAATCCTTAGATGATGGAACTTACCCAGCAACAACAACGATGAAATCCAGCCAGTTCCAGGGATTCCGAAGATAAGAATATTTGTTTACGATGAATCCTTTGGCGATGGTCTTGATCATCACTTCGATGGTATAGATGATAAGGAACACATATCTGCAAACAATACTCATAATTATAGAAATAGAGCCAAATGTATTTTTATCTTCCACAACAGATTTATTGATAATTTGGATAATAATGGTATTTTTAATGTCATGTAAATTTGCTAGATAATTACAAGAATTTTCTAAGAAACCATAAATTTTGCATGATTTGTATTACTAAGTGATGCAAGATTGTAGAATGAATAAATTATACACCCCGAATACTCTTCTGTTCATACTTGCAGTTTGACCTAAAAGTAATATTCTACACAATAAATGATATTGTAGATTGTAATTAGGCTCACAAATGCTATATAAATGATTTTAATTTGTAAAAGTTTAAGACTGCGCGAAATCCTGAAAATATCAGATACAGAATCCTAACAAGTAGTAAAAGAGTTCTGTTCAGGGGATTGGTGTTAACCACTTTGTATTAAACTTGTCCTGTTCCTCCTAATTCTTTCTAATTCTATTCTTTGACTTGTGTGTACTGTTTCTGAAAGATAATGCAAACTAATTAGTGAAATGTAGAAGTGCTGGACATACAAGAACAAGAACAGCTTCATTATAGCTGATATAAAACAGCTGACTGTTATTTATCCAATTAGGGTAGGTGCCCCAAGGATGTTAGAATAAATGCAGTAAGCCTCTCCGTATGCCCCGCGCATAGAAATTGAAATCATGAAACATTATGGTATGACGTCATGATTTACCAAGGCCCATGGAGGTAGGAAAGGGAGGAGGGGCCATTCTGCGCTAGAAGTGAAGCACTGCTTTGAAGCTTGGGTCACCAGACGGGGTGTTCTTTGTTTATATTCAGAAGCTCGCTTGACAAGATTCTGATAGTATTTCGACACACGACAGTTCCATAGAAATCGAAAAAGGGACACTCTCGCATGAAAGAAACATTCATAGTGTAATGGATAATAGCAATTTGTATAGTTTACTGACATTTACGCAAAAATCACATCTTGGTTATTTTTCGATAACTAACAACAGCGATTTTGATTATGAATTTGTTTATATAAAATTCTAAGCTGTTGCACTACAAAAATATAGATTTTAAGAAAATTGCTAAAAGAGATCTGCCAAAATTTATTTCTAGAAGATTTGAAAAGTTTGAAACTTGATGGCTAAATGTAAATATAAAATTATGTATGTTAAAATATTTGTAATTAGGCACATAGGTCAGATTAAGTTTTTATTAAATAGAGTAACGCACGCAAGGGCTATCTGCCTAAAGAGAGATGCCATCGTGGAGGAATTTTGAAGAAAAACTGACCTTTGAGTGGGTATTAAAAATAATACTTATAATTTTCATTCAAATTATATTCATATATATTTTTATGTAAAACTTTCGGGTGTATGCTAAATTAGTGTAAATTACTTTACACGAAAATATAGTGAATGCACAGAAATTAAAGATTTGCACATGCCGGAAATGATAAATAGGAAATATGTATGGGTATTTATGCATGTGCTTGCAAAAGCATGTATCTGCCTTTGACAAAATACTTAAATATTCATTAAATTATTTATAAATGTATTTGAAATGAAGAATTTATTCACTTATAAACAACTGTGAAAGTACTGTGAAGAAATCTAATGATTAAATGTATCTAATTTATAATGATTATAAATGTTATCTAAATATATAATAACCTTAATATTGAATTGTAAACATAAATTGAAATCCTGTTGACAAATACGTTATAAAACTATTTAAGCAAGAATTGTTCGTATTGGAAAGCAATCTGTTAAAAGGTATTGTAAAGCAAATGCTATGAGTGCGCACTTAAGAACGTAATAAAGAGTTTTTGGAATATGTATTGTTGAAATGAAGGGTAAAAAAAAAAATCTGATAAGTATAATTAAAAGAATTATTCCCTTTACATTTTATGATAACTCAGTTACAAGTTTTAAATAATACTTAAAAAAAAAACTTATTTTATTCCCTTTCAGAAATGTTCAGAGAAAGTCAAATAATATTTAATACCTATTTAATTATTAGGATTAGCGAAATACTTATTTAAAGTATTTCGCTAATTCCTAATAATTCTCTAATTTAAAATGAACCGAATAGAGCATTAATTATAAATTGACTTACATTTTTTCGATTTAAAAGATGCCTCAGAAGCCAAAAAATCCATGTCATATTAAGAAAGTATTTTAGGAAGAAGCTCTATAAATAGAAAAGAAATAATGCATAATTTTAATATTAATAATACAATAAACTTTGATCTTAATTTTTGTACCTTAACCGAATAAAATCGAATTACCTTAATTTTTTTATAATGTAATTAACGAAAACTTGTGAAAATATTTCATTCAAATTAAACCATTCTGAGAAAACTGTCCTGTGAAAAGTATAGCATTTAATTCCGTTCAGAATGAAATGTTGTTTAAAAATATGTTGTTTTCACATACTTAGGACTCTGAAGTGTTGTAGAAAAAGAAAATATATACATTTATATGTATATTTGCGACGTAATTACAAAATATTTACACCCGAACGCGTCAAATCCCATAGAACTCAATGGTAAATGACCCAATGTTTGGTCATCACGTAGGGATCGCCGGTGCTTCAGAGCAGGCTACGGAGAAACTTGTTTAGGGCGACTCCATCTTACTTCCTACCTCCATGCCATGGCCGCTGCCATAGGCGGACTTCTGCTTGATTTAATTTATATTCTAATCGGTGTTGTGTACATGTTAGCTATTCATTATTGAACGTTTATAAGTCTATCATTCTAATTTTAATACTTAACATAAAATGATTTTTAACTTAGTATATAGTAAAATCACAAGGATTGAAAATAAACTTTTCAAATTTAATAAAATCTAAACGTATAAAAATGTGTAAATTGTAATTATAATACAAATGTATATATGGTAAATTCTAGAAGACCAGTGAAAGTTTTAATGGTATTTTATGTAAATTATGTCTAAAGACACTTTTCTGAGTCTGCAAATGTTAATATTTCTCTTAAAGTCAGTGTAACATTATTTAACAATTTATTTAATTATTATTATTTATTATTTAATTATTATTATTTATTATTTAACAATAAAGTGACATTACGACTTATCATGGCCGCCATATAGCGCACGGATAAGACTATAAAACATATAGTCTTATCCGTGCGCTATATGGCGGCCATGATAAGTCGTGATGTCACTTTATCAGGTTCAATGTTCCGTCTTACTTTCTTCGGGAACATGCAAGGACCTGACTCGGAACAGAGAGCTTACTAAAGCTATGTTCAATAACTGTGGGAAGTAGACAGGATACACAAGAAGGGTATACAAAACCCTTTATTTTTCTCTATTTACAATAATTTCAGTACTTCGGAATACAAAGACCCACTACTTGTGGTCTAAACGTAAGAATATAAAAATATAACTAAACTCTAACTTGACTTTGAAATAATAAACGTGGAAGATTGGCCTTATATTAACAGGAAGCCGTATGTAGTACAGAGAACTGTTAACACTACAATACGTTTAAAATTATCAAGAGGATTAAACCTCTGGCCTGGAAGGCAACCAGCAACTGAGTAAAACTTCTAAGGCAAGCGGCCTGCTTCGTCTAACTCCTTCCTCTCTCTCGCTTGGCAAAAAGCCACAACTTAAGTACTTGGCGTTCGCCAGACAAACTTTGCATAAATAAGTTAACGCTTTTAATTCTGGCCGGAAGTAGAAAATAAGAAGTGATAGTAAAGATTTGAAATAAAATAAACGTTAGTAAAACTTAAGATCCTTACATACTTCCCGCCAGAGTTAATTAATTTGAAACTGAGGTCTAAAACGACCTTGTTGAAAATTTTAGCTCTAGAATCTAACGCGAGGCCAATCTTTTACAAACATTTTTCACTAGAAACTAGAAATTTAAATAAAAGAAATTTGTTTTTACAATAGCAGCTCCCAGGACACGCAATTTTTTCATCTGTACTGCATCTAAACAGGAGCTTTTTATTCAAATCTGGTTCCTTCCAATAATCTGGAAGGAAAACTAGTTTAATGAAATGTTACAACAATGAAATGGCAAGTAACATGCATATTTATATTTCTCTTAACATTCTTATTTCATTCATGACTATTTTAATTATCTCTCCCCGTGCTCTCTGACGTGTCTTGTAAAAGAACACCAAACACGAATGCGTGTTTATGTACAACGTGTTCAACACTTCCTCCTACAATCAAAACACTTAACGTGTTAAAATTCAACATAACAAGACCTCGTAACACACCCTAACTTCAACTCTAAAAACCCTGAAAGGTACTATTCTGAACGAGTGGCTAACTCTGAAGTGTAGCGTCAGAGAGCCTAACTACATTCATTCAACCTTTTTAGCACATATTTACGATGCGTAACTCTTTTTTTTCAGTCATACTAATAAGTTACAATCACACGGCATTTCTACAAAATTTTTAAACATTACTTTCAACTTTTTATCACAGTATCACGGTATTTCCTTAACATTTTAAAATAACAGTTCACATTGTATATAAGAACACATTAACATGCCGTTAATTTTACGCATTTCAAAACATACATTAGTAGTAAAATACATTTTGTTAACTTCCGTATTCTTTTCAAAGCAAGTTGCTAATTCTTTCTACATTTAAATACTACATTTCAAAAGTCCTTTCAGACTAAAAACTTTCGTTTCTTGACAGAATCTTTTAAATAAAATTTATACAATAACTTATACAATATTTAAGTCTTACACATCGCTATTATACATCAACATTTTGTTTTACGCGCGAGTAATTGAAAAACATAATACCAAAATCGGTAACAACTCATTTCTCGCCCTTTTTGGCGATAAAGGTAGACCTCGCATGAGGTAAAACTTCTTGAAATCTGCCACTTGCAGTAAGAATGAAAGATTAACTTAAGTTTGCAAAGTAACATAAAATTTTTACTTATCTTTGTTATATTCGGACATTCTTTTCTGAGCCCAGTCCTGGAAGGTAGCACAGATTCTCGTTTGATTTATCCTCCTT